TCACATCAGCTCTGTCAGCGCATGGCAGAGCTTACCGGGTAACAAATCTATTCATAAAATTAATTCTGGTAACTTTAATATGCTTTCAGTGTGCAGGGAGATGCAAGGATTGGCAATTATCAAAACTGCATCAGCCAGTGATCCCTAAAGACTCAGATCCTTATTAAAAACAAATTATGATGCATGTAAATGATTTTTTTTTTCTAAAATGACCCTTGCTGCCTGCAGCTGTAAAATTCCTCTATTAAAATGCTACGAAGTTAATCCACAAGCCATACTGGGGAGAGATGACCGGCTTTGTTATTAGTTTTCAGACATCAACATTCTGAAAATGAAATTTGGATTTGAGGCACATGACTAAAGTTAGGCTTCTGAATCTGGCACATACATAGAGAAACACACGTCTTCATTCTACATCAGGAAGAGACAGAAATGTCCAGACAGAGAGGTACAGATGGACATGCAGATAGACAGCATGGAGGCAGATAGACAAACAAAAGGATAAAGTGAGGTGAGTGCCAGGTAAGCAGACTGTTAGGTTTTATGAGCTGCACACGTAACACACAGCATGAAACAGGAAGGGCTCCTCTCAGCAGCCACTGCTGACACACACACACACACACACACCAAAGATTTTATCTGTTAATGTCACGGGTGTCAGTGTGCTCTACTGAATCAGCATGGTTCAACATTACTGCACTGCAAACACACTTTTCTACATATTCTTATGAAAGTATTCCACTCTGAGGCTTTGTCAAATTTGGAAATCTACATTTGAAATAGACATTGTTGTACAGTCATGTTAGAAAAATTAAATAAAAATAGACATTCCGAGGATACTGGTTTCTCAGGATAAAATGACCTTTTAAAAATAAAAACCTTAAAGTAGGTAGTAAACATACTTTTTAATTAAGCCCACATTTCTGGATTGAAAGATTCATTGGTCTGCTGTAATATGCCGATTTTAAATGTCATGTTTTTATTAACTGTAAGTGCAAAATCATCATTTGGAAACAAAAAAAAACATCTGTGTGTAATTAATCTATATAAAGTGTTTCACTTTGTGATAAAGTTCTGGAAATTAAATATTACAATATCAATAATATTGTAATTTCCTGAATGGGTCTCTGACACAGAACTGACTAGTTTGCAGTTTAATGAGCATTGTTGATGTTTCCTACAGTGTGTTTTGTCAATCTGATGGTATAATCTTTTAAATAAGTTTATGCTAACCTCTCACATCCAGAGTAATGTTATATTTTAATTATATTTTATTTATACTGCATCATGTGCATCATTTCACAATTCACTAGAAGTTATAAAGACCTCTCTTTGAATGATGTATTGTTTTACTGTCCATAGTCTGAAAACAATAACTAAAAAAAATAAGTCATTTTACTGCTCAGTTGTTTACATCTGACAAAGCACATCAAGCTTTGGTACAATATAAGAATTCATTCTTATATTGTACCAAAGCGCAATGTTCATTACTTGAATTATTTAGTAATGTAACAAACTTATGATAAAAGGCCTTCTTGTAAACTTTCAGAACTTTCAGAAATTATGCAAATTTATGTTTAAAATAAAATTAGATATTTACATGCAATTTTACTTCTGTTACAGCTCTGACCTTATAGTAAAGCTGCAGCAGGTTTTACAAAAATATGTTTGTTTTTCTTTTACAGAATAGTGTCACCATGTTGTGACGGTATAAAATGAGACAGCTAATCCGTGGGGGGGGGGGGGGGGTTCCTTTCCCCCCCTCCAACCGCCGTTGGCAAAAAAAAAAAACTACCTGCTCCAGCAA